TCATAATGATATCATTATAACTGTTCCCTGGCTTCTTGCATCGAATACACGTCTACGATGCGGTACAATTAGCAACACGTTTTTATTTGTGTGAAAATATTATGCAATATGTACTCGTGGGAAAGAACGGTAATCTTAGAATAATGCAACGTTTTCCACGAAACTCACACTCTCGAAATTTCACAATTTTATCGATAGAAATTATTCATGATACAATCGACTGATCTAATTCCGTCGCTTTGTTCATTTTACGCGTCAGAAATATATTGTAATTTCTGTACGTTGAGAATACATTGAGAAACGTGTTTCATTATAGAAGGCGTGTATACGTTCGGTTCCGCGGTAACGTGCGAAATTTTGCAAGATCTCGAGGGAAACCCCGACGATTGGCTCATCCGCCTGGCCAGTGAAAGCAAAAAGTTCTCCAAGCTTAGTACCTATCGAATTAGTAGAAGACGAGATTAGTAAACACACCGTGGAGATCGACGTTAAACCGAAGAAAGAGACGTCCGTTTCAGGTGCGCGATTACACGGTCTTTCATAATCGAGTTGGGAAAGTATCATTAATGCATAAATCTCCCTTTAATCTCGATACTCCCGTTTACGTTTAAGAGGCCGAGAGACCGCCAATGTCTGTCGGCTTACATCCCACGGATATGCTTAGTGCATAGGAAAATGAAATCGAAGTAATTGCGTGTATAGTTCGAGGCGCGCTGCGATAATCTCGTTTAGCTGCGGTAAGTATATTATTGGAAGTCGACGTTGCGCCGATCTAGAAAGGGATAGCACGCCGCTCCTTTCTAAATCATACAACTCGAGCTTACGAGCGCGAATAGCCGAAGAATCTCGTGGATACGATAAGTGGCGTCGATCGATATTTGGACACGACCATGGCTTTAATGAAACATCCCAATGTTCATCACTCCTGATAACTACATGTAATGGGCAAATTGCACGGGAAGAACGATTTTGCTGAAGTATCTAAATATTAGCTATAGATCTGAAAATTTGTGTTGGATCATCAAAATAATTACGTAGGAATTTAAAACGTAATGAGTAAAACTAATATTTCATTTGTTCTACGACAAACTTTTTAAGTATATTAATTAGTTACAAAATAGAGAAATTCTCGAGTCTAAATTCTTTATCTTGTATCTTGTAACCGATCAATATCATTTGAAAAATTATCATATAAACAGTAAAATACTCTCGAAATTCTTTGGAGTAAAATGTCACTTTAAAGAGTGAAAACTAAACATAAGTCTTGAAAAAGAGTAGCTCGTTTTTCAATCTTCAAGAGCGAGATTTCATTCTTCAGAGTAGTAGTTCACTCTAAGCTCTTAACTGATGTTTCAACCAATGGGCTTCATTCATGATAGTCATTTCATCATAGATGAAACCCTTTCGATAAAACATCAAGTTAAATCTAATCAAAAGTTAACCAAAAAATGAAAAACTAGACCTAAAAAGATTTTAGAGAATAATCTATAATGCTTGAACTGGAAGTTGTAAAATTTACACAAAAAGATTAGGCATCGAGACTCACCTTGACCAAAAATATAGTCTTCCTCGCTTATTTGTGTTGAACATTTCTTAGTCGAGTTTTTTAACATAATCATTTTAAAGATTTAATAGAATTATTTTTAAATCTGTATCCAGTTACATTTTTAGACGTTTTAACAAAACCGTTCTCTTTTCCGTGTGAGAATGAGAGGAAAGAGAAAGCGAGAAAGAGGGAGGGCATGCGGAGCAAGTTTTTACAGCGCACACGTTTTTCGTTAAAAACATGCGAATGGCACGTCTCGAAAAATAATGCGCGTTTAAATAACGTTTTTTGAACACTACCGGTGCCGTGAGTCACCGTACGTGAGACTCCATAAACCATGTGCGTTCGTCGCCTCGACGCAACGTGACATGACCGCGACGTCAACAAGACTTTTTCGCGCCAATTCCATGCAGCCACGTGCGTACGATGCCACGCGTTGTACGTTGACGCGACGTGCGCACAGACACGTCATTGTGCATGCCATGTCGCTTTGTCCCGTATAACTGATACATATATGTATCAGTATTAATCCATCGAGAACGGTGTCGTGACCGATGGAAATAAATGATTTCAGTAGCGTGCCGCCTTCAAATTAGCTGTGAAGTTTAGCTGTGAAGTTAAAAGTTTCATCGTGCGTATCAAAACGTTTTCACATCAACGCTTTTAGCAGAACACAGAATGAGAAACTGACGTTCGTCACAGACTAAAAAAGATGAGATTATCGCAAACATTTTTTATTGTATAAAATTTTTAGTTATGATTTCCCGGTTTTTTTTATATTTAAAATTATTTGTATGTATTTACATAACATTCCCTGTCTACGAATTATCGTGAATTATATTCGAGAATTAAAGACAGAAGCAGGAGTGATATATAAATTTGCTAAAAATGACGGGTAACACAAAATCCAATATCTGCTTTCCTATTTACAAAGATAGAAGCATTAATTCGCCCCCAGCGAGCGGTATTAAGGGGTAACGAGCAGCCTGCGCTGGGGAAACTATAAGGGATGAAGGAACGGAGGGAGATCGGGAGCAAGACAGAAAGAGAGAGGGGTAAATTTTCAAACAGGGTAACGGGGATAGGGGAGTGTTTAGGGTGCCACCCTGATGAACCTGGGCGCGGCATTGGTGCACGGTGTGTGCGGAGTGCGCACTCTTGCAGCTCGCAAATACTGCCGGTCCGGGGAGGGAGAGAAGGATACGACAAGGGTGGATGTCAGGGGGATAGGATGAGGATACCGGGGGAATGGAAGGGGACAGGAGGGGAGATGGACGGTATCAGATCGATACTCGGCGAAAAGCGCGGGCCGAGCGGAGTCGGCGCCGTTGTGTGTATCTACGGTTGGTCCATCGTGAGATCCGGATGTTGCGACTACGCACAATCTACGCGGTGGAATATTCGAATCAATGCCGACTGATACTTGACTCTACTCATATGTGAATAAGAAAAAAAGAATCTGTCGTGTTCCAGATGCGGTATCAACCTACCGCGCTCAAAATGAGATAAATACATACGTGAGTGACTCGAAGATTTCACGTGATAAATCTTATTAAAATTTATACGCATAAAGTCGTTCGTTCAGAGAGACTTTGTGCGTAAATTACCTTACTGATGAGTCCAGTAGTGGAAGCCGGGACGAAACGCCAACTTGTGATATTCTTCGCAATCTTATTTTTCACAGTTTTCAATTATCATTAATTTAATATTGAATTTTAATATATGTCTTTCAACATATTATTAAGATCTAATAAGATGCTATAAGCATCGAAATTTATTAGATTGTATTGTTAATCTAACTAAAGTGATATTACCGCGGTAGTTATTTAGAGTTGCGTTGTAAGTCTGAAAAAATGTTCGGCACGCGATTGACAGAACTACATACACGGTATATAAATTCACACTTAATGATAATAAGCATCTTGATCTAGCTTTGACCGATAGGCTTCGCTTTGTGCTTCCTTCTTTCTTGTTGTTGTGTTTGTGCGTAAATTTTAATAAGATTTGTCACATGATTTTCTCTCCTAACTGGAATCCCTTTTATCGCTTATTTCAGTGGCGCACGGAATTTCCGCTGTCAGAGCTCGTCGATTGTCCGTTATTAGTTTTTAATGAGAGATAATCATGGAAAGACACATAGAGGATGGAGGGGAAAAAAAAAAGAACTACGGGGACAAGTATAGGAGGAGGCGGCTATACTACGTAGTCCGTGCATATAGTAAGCCAACTGTAGTACTATGAGTTAGTCACACCCACAAGCCGGTTGTGGGTTCAAGATCCTCGTACGCTCTTTCTCTCTCCTCTACCCATGTATACGTACATACACTCATGCAGCAGCAGCCTGCGCGTGTAATTGTAATTGTACGCGAGGTTCCCGCGCATACGTATAGAGAATCTATCGTCTTTGCCTAGCGTAGTGAGACAGCAAGCCGCTCATCCTAGGTACTCGCTATATTTGCAACTCACGACATTGATAAAGACGTGAGATAACGTGGGAATTTTTAAAGAGTACAGTTGAATGTAATTGCGGAGATTCTGGTACAATCATAGACGCATATTTACACAATGGGCTTCTTATAAATTGATTATTTATAAAACATTTGTATATATATATTTTTTTTATTAAAATACAAAGAGTCTGTCAAGAATGATTTATGAATTGAAAAATACGAAGATTGATCCTTGAATCACCACGATTGGCGGATAAGCGCAGTATTTCGAGGAACAGACCTGCTTTCATTCGACGAAGAACTCTCTTGGGAATTCTCACGTGCCTGCGTAAGCTATTATTCCTCCAGCAGAGCGATTCGTGATGCACGTATAGACATTGATCTTAGATGCCTTTAACGGAGAAGCATTCTGTGAAAAAATGATCGATCTATGAGATGTATGCTGACCCGAAATACGTCGCTAAAGAAAGCACGCGCGCATTACAATATACATATAGGAGTTCCATGATGGCCGGAAGAATAAAAATGATGGAAAATTTTCAGATATGCAGTCGTTGTAGCATAAAATTGCATAGATGACTGCCTGTAAACACGTAATACAGTCGGAGAGATGATGTAACAAAATATAATAAAATACGAATGGATATAATAAAAATACAATGTATATATAAAAATTCTGTGAGGCACTATCGTTTTTTAACTTTCTTTCTCTTTCTCGTTCTCAACACACACACACACACACACACACACACACACACACACACACACACATATGTATGTATGTATGGTATGTATAATATAGCTAAATTCTTTATGGAGCTATAAAAGTACAATTCCGCTTTCATGATAGATAAACTTCATGTGGGACCTCGTTATGTCGCTTTTATGAAAATGAAACTATTCCAGGAGAATAATTCACGACGAATTGTGCAGTTTAGTTATACATTATTTGGCAAATTTCTGACGACAGTCTGCTAAAGGTATTATCATTCGTCTTCTTGCAGTCGAGTGAATGGAATTGGATACCGTAAATGCGTACAGTACCGTCGGGATGGAGCAGGGATTGTCTGGGGATCCATGGGACTGTCTGTTTAGCGACAGCATCTCTGACGCCTTCCAAGGTCGTCCAGAGATGTTACATATGGGTATTCGGCGTTGTGATAATACAAGTCAAATCGGTTGGTTTGGTCCAGGACTTGGCTTCGATTTTGACGATGTTTTGACGGAAACCGACGAAGATCCGCTCGCCTTCAACGAGAAAAGTCGCAGTTCAAACAGGTAAAATAAATCCTTCGTATCTAATATCTATAATGACCATAAAAGAGAGACATTAGTGCCAGTAAGTATTGCTTAAACTTAAAAAAGAGAGAGAGAAAAGACTATGTAACTAAAGGATTTCGAAATACTTTACTAAGTTCGGAAATTAATTAATTTTATAAAAAGATTAAAGAGCATATGATAAACAAAATGTCAACTGATTATTGTATCATTTAGGGAAAGCAATTGTGTTGCACCTATGTGCGCGATTACATACATTGTCAATACTTTTCATAAATGACATAGTAATCGATCAACACTTTAGTGGATGTCTTCTATTTTTATGAATAATAATATAATAATAAATAATAAATTTATCTTTGTTGCTGTTGTTATTATTATCTTAAGAATGTTAAGAGAGATAGAAGAGTGTTTGTGTCACTAAATAGACGGAAAGAACCTTTGTTTCTCTCGTATACTTTAACCCTAACTTTATGTCCGTGTTCTACAGCAACCTGGAAGAATTGAATTTAGACAGTGACAACGAACTGGCTTTGACGTTGGATCCGAATTTGATACTGCCATGTAACATGCCTATCCGCAGCCCCGCGACAAATAGCGACGCAGCGATGCTGGAGACAGCGAGTGTGGAAGAGAACGCTGTTGAAAACGAGGTAGATGAGACGGATAACGAAAGTGAGGTCGAGCGAACCGAAAACGATGAAGAGAATGAAAGCGAAGAAGAAGAAGAGATCGAAGTTGAGTATAATGAGCACAATGAGACAGAGTACGAGACAGAAGAAGAAGAAACGGAAGAGGAAGAGGTAGAAGAAGACGAGGAAACAGAAGATGAGGAGCAGGACATGACTCAAAAGTCGCTCACATCCTTGAGCGTGGAGACACCGATATCGTCGTCGTCGAGCAACGTTGGCATCAGGACGTTAACTGGTGCTAATATCCTAGCCACCTCCTCGCCCACGATACAATTGACGAGGTTGCATCCTAAATTAAGCACCATATCAAGCACAACCAAGGACATCAAGATGCTGCAAACTAATTCAGGTGCCCAGACGTTGCAACAGATTCGCAAACACATGTCCTACAACAATAATGTGCACGATGTCAGTACGGGTGCGACAACGACGGTGATGATACAGGCGGCAAAGCGTGAAAAGGAGTTAACGTCGGGGAACCGTGACAACTCTTATCCGAAACCTGCGTACTCGTACTCGTGTCTCATCGCGATGGCATTGAAGAACAGCCGAACAGGATCGCTGCCAGTCTCCGAAATCTACAATTTTATGTGGTGAGTGCTCTTAAATTTATTACTATAGAGAAACACATTAGACTTTTATCAACACTCTTGTAGATTGTGCTAGATAATTAAATATTAAATTAATATTTCAATAATTTTTGGAAACGATACAAGAGATATACATTCTGTTTTAATGTAACCCATTTTTCAAATGTGCGCCCCAAGTTAAAATTTCGTCTATTTTAAGATTTTTGTAGCTGCAAATTACTTTTTTTTATCGTTTTATAAGATCTAATTATGACATTTTTAAAAATATCGGAAAGCAACTCATTTTAGCTTTGAATAAAATTTTGAATATCTTCTTTGACAAATATTTTTTTTCGAATATTTTTTCTCGAATTTTTGAAAATTGAAACCGAAATATTTTCTCTGAATTGTTTGTTAGTGTATTATTCATTATAGTTGACAATAAACGTGAGACGTAAGAAATAATGTTTTCGAGATAAACAGCAAAGAACTTTTTACATGATGAATAACGTGTCGTCCGTTTGCTTATTTTCGGCCATTTGGCCGGAAGGATAAAGGGACTGGTGAGGTCCTCCCCTCCTCTACACTTAGGTATACGAGGGGCAAAAGTATTGTCTTTTCCCTCTTTATTCTTGGGTCGGAAAGGGAGCTAAGCGAGAAGCTGCCATTTTGTACGGGGCCCTTGGAACAACCAGGGGCACACCGGGGTACAGTCCCCCCTAGAAATCGACGGCAGGCTTCGCTCTCTTCGTTTACCACCTGCCTTTATTTCTTGTCGTTGCAACTTCATGCTTGTAAAATCGGCCATGCTTGTAAAATAACTGTCGTCCTTTTTAGTGTTTCGTTTGAATTTTTCCATCTTAAATAATGATAAAATACAATTAATTTATAGATTGTCTCGTTCGAAATATTTGTTAAAATAATGAAAAAAGCAATATTTCTCGAGAAAATAAAATTCGTTAGAATTTGATCTGAATATTATTAGAATCCTGATCAAATTAAATATTTGATCAATCCATCAATTGTATATAAATTTAATTATTAGTAAATTTAAATGTCAATTACTAGTAAGTAATTCTCTGACACTTAATATATGATTTCTTTTTTCTTTGTTAATGAAAATTCCGATTCGCGTAAATTTCATTTCCCATTTTCCCGTTTCGTTCATGCAGCCGGCACTTTCCCTACTTCACGACTGCGCCAACTGGTTGGAAGAACTCCGTGAGGCACAATCTGTCGCTGAATAAGTGTTTCGAGAAAATCGAGAAGCCACCCGGTAATGGTAGTCAACGAAAGGGTTGCCTCTGGGCCATCCATCCATCGAAAGTAGCCAAGATGGACGAAGAGGTGCGGAAATGGTCGAGAAAGGACCCGGCTGCGATCAAGCGAGCCATGGTGAATCCGGAACAGCTGGAGCTCCTCGAACGGGGTGAGATGAAGTACGAGGGAAACAGACACGACGAGGCGTACGATGATGCAGAGAGCTACGCGGATTCTGAGACTGGTGGATCCGTGGTAGACGAGCCCATCAACGACGACGAAAATGTTACGTATGATGAAACCAAGCAGATCGACATAGTTGATGACGATATTGTTGTGGAGCAGCTCTACGAGAATCTTGATCTCGTGAATGCCACCGAATTACTCGACACAAGACTAAACGACTTTTCTAGACAAGAGCAGCCATTGGTGTACGAGTTTGTCTCGTGCTCGAAGCGCCAGAAAATGCTGACGGGCAACGATTTTATTTGTCAACCTGTCCAACGACAGGACGCGGCGTCGCCCCGGAAAAAAGCGCACCTCGTGGCATTACGGCCCGGAGGCATCGCTACTCCGAGTGCCGAATCGCTTCTCGAAGCGGATTAAATACTACTAGGACATTTATATGATCTCCTATTTAAATACATACACGCGGCCAAGTACACACCCCCTTTTTTATTGCCAGACCATTGTAAATAATTGCGTCCTGTAACTTTTTTTACAGCCTGAGATTTTGTAAATACTTGTGTTTTATACGACGATGTACCTTTTTTATACAACGCGCTTGTACATAACTGTAATTTTTAAGTGTACAAATATGTGTACATATACACAATGTACAAAGGCTATTTTTTTTTAGAACCGTAATGTGGGACCATCCTGTAGGCATGCGCGTAGAAAAATTTTCAAACACGATGGTTATTTAATATTATTCTACGCATGTTCGCATATTTACAAGAAAATAGCCATACAAGCAAGAAAAATTCCGAATCGATTAAATCCGATGATAGAAGGTGCTTACCCGGGGTCGACTATTGTGTATCAGTAAATTAGCGCTCGCCTAACATGTCTAACATGGCGCCACAACAATTTTATAATAAACATTTTTTAATAATCCATTACTCTTTCGATCTTCTTATTTGCAACTCTCGAAAAGTACGGAACACAAACAATACGCGCCAGCTTCCACGTACCGTCCGCGTAGGAAATAAATTAACAAACATGAAGCTCACGAATCGTCACTGCCAAGAATGGTCAAAGATAATACGAACGTAGCGGATTAACGTGTAGATTACATAAATAAAGATATAACACGCGATCTCATACCGATCTTTCGAGGACTGTAACTCATTCAGTGCTATTCCTTTATGCGTGATTATTACGTAAAGTTTTTTAAGAATCTTTTTTTTTATAAAATCGTCGTATTTAGCTTGTCGTGATACTATAATTTTTATGTATTATACATATACATAATATATCTCGACTGATATTACTAATTAACAGTAGGAAATTCCTAATTTATTCTAATTTTAATTGATATCGTCAATTTTTTACGTTAACAATTTCAGGATTCCAAATTTACACAAGAAAATGTTCGAATATTAGACAGCTAGAATTTGGATGAGGTTTCGATGACATTTTGTTTTTCTTTCATATTTCTTATTTAAAAAATTTTCAATAAATTCCTAATGGGCGAATCTATCGTTAGATTCCGAAAACTTTATCCATCACAATATGGATGAAGTTCCAACGATAAATACTTTTTCTTTTTTATATCAAAAATTTTTTATAAGTTTAAATAAACATATTTGTCGTAACTTTGGTTTTCAAAATTTGTTTATTGACCTAACCAAACTTCTTTATAAATACATGAACGAAGTTTCAACGGCAAATTCTTTTTCTTTCTAACGTTAACATTTTTCAATAAATTCAAATAGATGGAGTTTCAACGATAAATTCTTTTTTATAATATTTTTTATCAAAAAATATTAGTCAAAAATGTTTGATAAACTCAAATTTAATTTGTCGTGCATCTTAAGAATTTCGTCGTCGAAGTTTCATCCGGTTACAATATGACGTATAATTATATATATAAATCGTTCGCTGCGTTCGAACGTAATTTCATTCCACACGAGCAAGACCAAGCTCTAACGCTTACAAGGCATTTAGACAAATAGGTGGTTGTGAATGAAAGAGAAAGAGAGAAAGAGAAAGCGAGCGAGAGTGGTAGCGTAAGATAGCAGTTAAAGTAGCGTAGTTTTTGTACCTGTTTGTAATATTTCTATATAGCGTTAATGAGTGTGTAATTTTCGTGTAGAATACACGAAATTAATGCGTAAAAATGTATAATGTGCAATGACTGCAACTTTGTAATAAAATATTGCTAAGCGTATTTCGCGTAGTTCGTTATCGCGTTCGATATATTGAGTCCAATTAACGTTACGGTGATGATCGATAAACTCCTCTTTCAATTTTTTTTTTATATACGTGTGCACATGCAGGTAATTAATTTATACGATTCGGTTACGTTAAGTATTTCAAGTATTTTTTTCTCGTTAAATGTTTAGCTTTATGATTGTGGACGGGTGTCCCCGGAACATCCATTCCGCTTACGTAATCTGGCGTGAAGAGAGAGAAAAAAAAAAAGAGGAAAAGAGAAAGAGAGAGAAAGAGACGAGGGTTGACACACCGCTCTCGCATCTGCGTGCATGCGTTTATCGATACGCAACCACCGCGGACGCGTGTCGTCCGCATGTCGATTACGTACGATCGGCGATAACCAGTTTACGCGCGTACACGCCGCGTCGACGGGGCTCTCGTCTATTGAAACGGGCCGCGTGCGATTCATATTCGGTTCGCCTGGCGGAGCAAGAGAAAAGAAGAAAGAGAGTGAGTACGAGCGAGAGGGCCTTCCGCCAATGGAACCGGTTTCTCAGTCGAGCTCTGATCACAAAGAACTCGGCCGCGCTCACGCGAGTTCGCCACCGCGCCGGGGCCCTCGATTGCGGCCCCGACTTTGGGTCTCGTCGCCTCGATAATTTTCACTGATGTCCACATTTCTACTAGTGCAAATTAGATTTAATTTCAGCTTAATTTACTTTTTATGTTTTTTACAATTCTAAGGATTGAGATTAAAAACATTAATATTTTTCTAATTCTATAGAGAAAAATTGCATAATTATATATTTTTTTTTATTTTAAGAATTAGAAATTTGTGAACTAAAGATTTATATAGATTTGAAATCTTGCGATTTTTCTAATTCTAAAAATTAGATAAAAAGTAAATTAAACCGAGATCAAAATTAATTTTAGTAGATTAATCTTAACACATTAATGTTTCTTTTTGTCAATCACAGATTTAATTTATTCTCTTAAATTTTTCAAAGTAAAATCTTACTGTAAAAAGTACAAATTGAGCAAATCTTGAAAAAGAGTGAAAAAGGTTCAATTTTCAATCTTTAAGAGTGAGATTTCACTCTACATACACAGAGTAAGATTCGATCTTAAAGTTTTAGAGAGTACATACTCTTTATCCTTTTCTAAAATTATTGGAACTAGAAAACGATAAAAAGTAAGTTAAATCGAGATTAAAGTTAATCTACATTGATAGAAACGGACATAATTTTACAGTTGTAAAAATAAACACGAAATAATTTTCCTTCGACGTTCCCAATCGTCTCGTACCGGTGAAATCAATGATGAAGACTGGCCCGCAGTTCCCGTAGTAAATCGTAGATCAAAAAACGAATAGAGAGGAAGGATTAAGATGCACCTTTCACAGAACTGACTCGTTCCGTTCGGTCGTCCGCACAAAGACGATCCCTCGTGCGTTCGGTTACGCGGGAATTCGCGCATATACATTCTGATACATTCCGAGTGTACGTTCTGCCCCTTTTGCCTCCCCCTCCCACCATCATTTCTGTATTTATCAGTTGCATCGTGCATCGCTGTGGACGTTTCGTCAGGTGTTTCGAGCACTCGACCGAGGCGCGCGACCAGGATCGGTTTATGGCCGTGAGGAGCCCCGGGGTAGAAATCCTCAAGTAAAAAATTGAACATCGTTTCGATAACTTCTGATTGATCTATCATATTTTTGGGACTTGTTTAAGAATGAGATAGATGTATAAGATAGGAGAGAGGATATCATTTTATCTCATGCATAATCTATCCCATTCTATCTTAAGCAAGTTTTAAAAAATATAATGGGCTAAAACGTATAATATCTCTTACTTGAAAAACTCAAAAAGAGAAACGAAATTTTTGACGATTTATTTTCTAAGATCTATAAGAACGAGCCAGTTTTATAAGAATGAGAAATGTTTCGATCGATAAAGAGATATTCGACGACAGTTTTGCAATTTCATCAGAGATTGCCAAAACTCGTGTCGGAAAAGAAAAGTTAAAAAAAAAAGAAAGAATCCACAATGGAAGTGTTTTCCTGCCTCACTCGAAAGGCAAGTTCGCTATTTTATTAGCTCCCATCGCCATCGATGCTACGGTCCTGATCGATACGGTCGATTCTCGCTGATTATCCGGGCGCGACGCTTCGAAAACTCCCACGCTTATATCTCGGGTTCTTATCGCTGCTGTGTTACAAGCACAATGAGAGCGCGATTAGAGCATTGTATGGCAAGGCCGGATAGATACGATACGTGTACGCTTGACCTCGTGCCGATGCGTGCGTGCGTATAAAGGGAGACGTGAAAGAAAGAGATAATATGTATCGAGAGAGAAGGAGAGAGAAAAAAAATCTTGAACCTACAACCAGCTTGTGGGTGTGACTGACTCATAGTACTATTTACTATACTACAGTCGATACTCGTGCATTCGTAGTACGTCGTCCCCCTCCTTCCTTCTACTTTCCTTTGGAGCTTCTTCCCTCCCTCTCTTTCACTCACTCATCTCGTTTTCTCTTCTTTTTCGCTCTTTCTCTCTCTCTCTCTCTCTCTCTCTCGTTTTCCCCCCTCCCCTCTCTCACTTCCCCTTTCTCGTTTTCTCTTCTTTCTCTCTCCTTTCCTTCTCTCTGAGATATTCTCCATTCCTTTCTCGCTCTCTCTCTCTCCCTCTCTCTCTCTCTCTCTCTTTTCTCATTTTCTTTCTCTTTCTGCTTTTTCGTCTCTGTTTAATCCTTTCTCTTTATCGCGCAATTTCCAGTCGGGAAACGAGACCCCGGCACCGCACAGTTAAAAGGTTACACGAATCTGCGCACGTGTTTCCTGAGCCGTAAATTCTGTAAAATCTAATTTCCTACCTCTATACTGGAACGTGGATTTCCGTGAATTGATAAAAAAATAAATAATCTAATATGGCTTCCCCCATAACGTTCAACTCTCGTTCCGTCTCTTGATTCTCCCGTCCAGCTGCGTGTCGCTTTCACGGCACGCCATGTGTACAACGTCCCGACTCGATGCCTATATTACGTATATGTTGACTTATCAGCTGTATTATAAGGGAAGGAAGAGCGAGTAACTTGAACCTGCATCGTACTGTACTCTTCCACGGTGCGGTCATGCAAGTCAAGTTGCGCTGCTATATATTAATTTCAACGTTGTTAAGAATAATCAAGCTTAAAGCAAATCGCTAATACTTTTTTTTTCTATATCTTTTCTCATTTTGTATTATTTCCTCACTATCGTATATGACTCATATATATCTATGATATTTATTTATTAAGTAAAATGAGACTTCACTTTCGATTCGATACGAATGAAAACGCGTGTTTATTTTTCTTTTCCTATATAGCTCTCTATTGTCTATCAATTATTTATAGAACTCTGT